CTGCCCCGCCCAGTAACAGGTGACCCACCTTACTGCCCTGCCCAGAGACAGTTGTCCCACCTTACTGCCCTGCCCTGCCCAGTAACGGGTGACCCCGCACTGCCACTCCCAGAGACAGGTGACCCCCTCACAGTCCAGCCTACAGACAGGTAAACCCCTCCCTGCCCTGCCCGAGGTGCTGCAGGTACCGTTCTCGTACTGCCCCTCTTCACCCCTCTCCCTCTGTCTGTGCCCCCCCCCCAGCGTCGCCATGGTGCGCCTGCGCGACCTCCGGCAGAACGTGGTCAACCTGCTGACCTCCGTGCTGCCCCACCTGGACCTGCAGGGCATCAGCCTGGACACTGGGGACGTGGACAACATCCTGGAGCAGGTCATCGAGGCCAACAAGATCTGATTCTCCCCAAGTCCCCCCCCCCCCAACACACGCACACACACACACTCGAGAGACTCTGCAGAAACTCGTTAGCCGCCTGTGTGCCTCGGGTGCAACTAGAGCAAGGATGCAGTTGGTTTGCTTAGCTGTCTCTTCCTCCTGTCGTTGAGTTTGTGACTTGTGTTTGTCTCTTTTTGCTCTTGGATTCAGTTGGAACAGGTCTTCGGCCCAAACACATCAGAAGGCGGCGTCCAGTGGCTTTCTCAAAAAAAAAGCCAATTTCTAAAGGTTAACCGGAGTCATTAGCTGTGGCTCCTCTGTGCGTGCCTCTGGAGATGAGATAGGATAAGTGACACTCCCCTGTTTGGGAGGCGCTCTGAGAGCAGATTCCCTCTCTCGGCAGGTTTGCGGTCTGTGCCTTTACTTGTATACCGCCTCCGGCCAGCAGGGGGCGGCCCTCACACCGGGGTTTTTTTATTTTTATTAAACATATAGGATTTACAGATACAAATACAACAAGAGGATCAGAATCATGTACAATTGAAAAAAAAAACGTAGCAGAAAAAAGCATTTAACTACCGGAGGTAATTAAGCAATTATGTGATCAAATTGTATATTTTACACGTATCATATTTTCCTTGCTTTAATATTTCTCAATTATTTATAAAATTTAGTTTCAACAGGCATGCGTTTCCTGTAAAAAATAAAACTCAGCACACAGTTTTTTACAAAACAAAAAAAAAACGTTTTTCTTTTAACAACATTTCGAGTACCTCTGGCATTCATGAAAAAGACATACGCAAAAGCAAATAACTAACTCTAAGACTGTCTAAACTATTGAGTTTTTCGAAGAACCAGAACTATAACAGTCCTTAATACCTGGAAGGCGGGTTTTTCCTCGAAAAGGTCTTTGTGATTTTTGTCACGTTTTTCTTTTCTTCTTCTTCTTTTTTTTTTTTGGTAAAAAAAAAGTAGTTGGGTGGAAATTGCGTTTTGAGTTTAGCCGGTAGTTTGTCTATTACGTCTCCTCGCGTTTTAATTTTCTCACACATCGCTGACGTATTTTTTTTCTATATGTGTATATATATATGAGTAATTCGATTTTATGTAGGATTTCAATCTCCAGCAGCCTGTTATGGGCCATCAAGAGACATTCGTAAGATGCAGGTAAATGTAAGATCGCGAATCTAACCTTTTATGAAGTATCCGTGACCCAACATCTGGGCTCAGAGTATAGAGTGATACAACCCACGCGCCAAGTAAACTCTGACAAAATTCTGGATTTCACTGTAGAATACCGATTCTTACGTGTTTTATTTATTGTCATTTTTTTATACTAGATATGTCATTTGTACTACTGTGTGTGGGGAGAAAAAAATATGTATTGTTACTGTAAGGGAAGTTTCCTTTTTTAACGATACATATAAAACAGGGAACATGTTACAAGCTGTTGTCGTGTCTGTCCTGTCCGTGAGTGTTGGGTTGTGTCGGGGGAGCAATGCACCGCCATAACCCACACGTGTCCGTCAGCTTAATTCTTTCTTCTTCTGTCCAGCACGGAGTGGCGTCTTGCTTTGCCCGCTTTCGGCTTGGCGGTCTGGCTCTCCGTCGCCCCCTGGTGGAGACTGCCATGGCTGCGCGCCCTGCGTTGGCTCGGGTCACACGCAGCGCTGCGGCTGTCTGTGTGCGCGCTTTGGGCGAGAGCCCACATCCAGTCCTTGAGGTGCAGCAGATAACGTGGTAACAGGGAGCCGTGGCTGCAAATATTAACCGAGAGAGGAGGACCTGAACTGTACTCCCCCTGCTGCGTGTGTGTTTGTGGTCTTTCTGTTCCGCGGTCAAAGAGTTCACAAACGTTGCCTTCGAAGAAGCAATAGCAGTTCAGTGTAAACAGGGCGCACATCTGCTTGGGCAATCTCATGAGCTCTGACCCAGTGTCACATCTGAGGTCTGCTTTTAGAAATAATTAAACCACATGTGCTGCTAACCCGAGGAGGAGGAAATGACGCTCCCCCACTCCGGCTTCCTGTCCAAATCCAAGGCAAACCTTCGATCGCAAAGTCTCGCGGAGCAAAGCCAGCGTGCGGTTTGCCAAGGTCATCCCCAGCCATCACTTCTCGGAGGAACTAGCAGGGAAATAGAACATGCCGCCCTGTTGCCAGGACCTGCTGGCCCAAATCGAACCGTCCTCCGCGTCCCCGTCTCCGTCCTTCGGATGAGACGTAAAACCGAGGTCCTGACTCTCTGTGGTCATTAAAAATCCCGGGGCGTCTCTCGAAAAGAGTAGGGGTGTAACCCCGGCGCCCTGGCCAAATTTCCCATTGGCCCTTACCAATCATGGCCCCCTAATAATCCCCCTCTATGAATTGGCTTCATTACCCTGCTCTCCTCCCCACTGATACCTGGTGTGTGGGGAGCGTTCTGGCGCACTATGGCTGCCGTCGCATCATCCAGGTGGGGCTGCACACTGGTGATGGTGGAGGGGATCCCCATTACCTGTAAAGCGCTTTATAAGTGTAAGCAATTATTATTATTATTATTATTATCTTCTCTCAGAAGCTGCCTGCTGGAGGAGACGGGCAGTCAACGTGCTGTCGCTTCTTTGAACAAGTGTCGGGGCCCATCTTAGTGACCCGAGCTTCCTGCTTTCGCTTGAACTACAGGAGGATGTGTTGGGTTATGAATACTGAAAAGAAATGAGCCGCGACCGATGACTTCTTCAGTTCTGGGGACGCTGCCGTGTTGCAGCATGTGAGACAGATGGCTGCGTGCAGCTCACAGGCCGGCCGGCCCGGTGACCGCGCCGGCCCGTTCCAACACAGGAATACGGCAGTACCCTTAGTGTTGGAAAGCTGCTGGGGGTAACAGAACTTCCCGATACTGGGGCAGAAGAACGGACTTCGCAGGCTTGGTTCGTGCCTTGCATGCGTCAAGGCGTGACGAACCCCCAGCCCCGCAGGAGCCCCAGAGTAACTGAGCCGCCTTGTGCTGCACACTAACTGTGAAATCGTCAAGTTGAGCAGAATTACAATGACGAGAGCGCAGGGCAAGAGCTCGGCCTGCCCTCCCCGACGGTTTCATCGGTGACGGCGTTTTTTTTTCTTTTTCCAAGTTTTTAATTTGCGACAAAGATCATTTCGGTGCTCGGAGGGGTGCGCGTTTGACTTTGGTCCCGGAACCCCCCGGTTGTTTTAAAAATCGGTGCAGCGGTTGGGCGGCCCAGGTTAGAATAAAACGGCAAAATAAATCAACAGAGGAGCAGATCGGCTGGATTGCTGCTGGAGGATGTAGCCCTGGACACAGCTGCAGCAGCTCGCGCTGCCCCGAGTCCGTGTCCTGTCCCGAAGGAAAACCATGCCAGCGCGCCCTGGACCTCCCTGGCAGCTGACCGGAGAAGGGAGTGGACCGGCCACAGCAGGGCACCTGGCAGAGCCTCCTTGAAGACACAAAGCTCAATTCAACAGCTCTTTCAGCTGGGAGCCTCGGACAGCTCTAATTTGAGATCTGTGCCTGTGTGCTGCCCTGCTCGGTCTCAGACCTGCTCGCACGTGTTTGGAGGAATGATCCTTCAACGTCGGTAAACCTTAGACCCATACAGTGAACCAGCTTTGATACTTTCAGTTTCATTTTCAGTTTGCCCAATGGACTACTAATCCACGTGGATACTAACAACCGTGTGGGCTAGTTCTATCCCCTTGACTTCCTCTGGTTTGTTATGTTGTTATGTTACTATATATTGTGATTTTGAACTTCTGTCTGTAATACTCAGCGTTACAGCAGCCTGCAGCACTTGGTTTACAGCTGCTGAAAGCTACACCCCAGCGGTTGGAAACGGGCCCTGGTGAGCTTGGCCTTATCTCCAGTTACAGGAACGAGATAGCAGCCTGTTCTTCCTGTAAGACAGAGGCGGGCGGGCCGTTAACGACCGTCACTCAGCTGCACGGTTTCGGCGCCTTCACTTCCCTCGCGACAAAAGAGCTTTTTACAAACGCTCTTCCTACCGCGGTGCATCAAACGGGTAAGCGCTGGAAAGGAAGAGGCCGAGAGCGCAAGACGTTCCGTGGACTCTTGACACCCCTCGCCCTCGGGCGTTGCTGTGGAGACACGGAACGCTCGGGACGGAGAGTCGGTGCTACGCGGATGCGCAGCTCATTCCAAACTGCAGTCTAGAAATGCGCCAATGTCACAGTACCACTGTAAACACGTGTAAAGGCACAGTAAAAATGATCACCGTGTGATCTCTTTTTTCTTTTAAGTGAAAGTGATCATTTCTGTGCAGCCCGTTTCTGGTGGGTGGTGGGATAACCCCAGAACACCTGCACCCGTGAGGAAGATCGATAAGGAGCTCCGGCCAGCGGTACGCCTGAAGAATGAAGGGCCGTCAAACTTTACGGTGCAGTAACGCAGTGAAGGAACATCCCTGCGCGCAGTGCTGGGGGTTGTCACTGGACCGAGGCGGTGTCTCGCAGCGACAGCGTGCGAAGCGCGAGGAGAGAGAGTGTGTCTGATGTAACTTCTCGCAAGCATTCCGTAAACGCGCCCCCGCGGGCCTTATCTCACCCTTATCATTTGCACGTGAGGGATTTCGTGCCTCTCGGAGCAGAACCCACCTGTAGGAAGACCTCCGCTGCGAGCACGGCGGCGGTGTAGTGGCAGCGCGAGCCAGCAAATGGTCTCCACCCGCCCCGCTGTCGAGAGGGCGCGCGATGCTTATCGACAGCTTCGGTCACGTTCGTGCGTGCTGGCAGATCAATAGACTTTCCGAACAAATCATGGTTGCAGACTCGGAATTGGAATCGGCATTGTCGTTTTCTTGAACTTAATTACTTCATCGGGACTTAATGAACGTGTTTTCTTTCTTCCTTTTCCCCCCAGCATGGAATAAACATATTACTGGTTCCTTAATTAACCTTTGCCAAGATGAGCTAATTTAGAATAAATTTAGAAAAGATGTGATTCAACAAAAGCTAAGGTCCTCGTCTGCAACTGTGTGTTGTTCTGCGTGTAACAAAACGGCAAACATTGAGACTATGGTAAAAAAAAAAACGACTTTTCCCCTTTATTCAGATATATTTATACACTTACATAAGCCACGGAAGTGCAGTCAGGATGCACTGTTATTACAGAGCTCATGTACACCTCTGGTAACAATTCTCACAAGACTCAGTTCCGAGAATCAGGTTTTGCAACCCGGGCGTATCGACTGTCCGACCCCGGGTCCCGAGACGAGCTGTGACTGGCGCGTGAAGCCGCGGGGGGTCTCACGCACGTGCCGAAGTCACCCTAAACCGTAAATGCGATTTTGGGAAGGTTGTCACTTTTTTTTTTTCAAATTCGTTTGAAAAAAAAAAGCGCAACCGCAAAACAATCCTGCTGACACAAGAAAACAAGTGTAAGGAGGTATTTTGGAGTTCATTCAAGTTTTGCGGCAATACTTATCATCGGAATAATAATAGCGCATGCTGGAGAACCTTGCGGTGCAGCTGATGAACCAGGCGTTAGGAGTCACCTTCTGCTGCTGCGCTCGGCGTTTCCGCTGCCTGAGCCTCTGGGAGGGGCTGTGGCTAAGCTCTCCCACAGGGGACGCTACCGGAAGAACCTACCGACTTTATTTAAAAGAGAGCCTCGCGTGCGCCGTAGCAGCCTCGGCTTAAACAGTGCTGCTCGTGAGATATTCCGTCCACCGGCCGCATTGAGAGTTACTGGGCGGCAGACGGGCTGAGCTTCAGCTGGGCTCCGTGCTGTCACAACCAGGCGCTGCACTGGGTGACGAGCTCAAGAGGAACTCGAGTGTTTACTCACTCTGGTGAAAATGAAACATCCAGTCAGTTCGTAACCATCAAGATCAGACCTTGAGCTCCAGTGCTTTTATTAGTGATATAGTGACTGACTATAGCGATATCACCGCTATATACAGTGGTGTACATAGATCAAAAGAGCTATGTACACCATAGAGAATCATTTTCTTCATATACTTTTTTATGTAATTTGTAATTTCAAGATGATTTATGTTAGTTTTGTGTTTGGAATTGTGTAGACTGCCAAAGATGTCAAGTGAAAGCTAAAAAAAAAATGAGCAGCTGTATCAAAACAGACTCTTTAGCAGAATACCGTTGTAATAAATTCATTCTAAAAACTGCTAACAGTTCTCCATTATGACATTGCTCTGTCCCATGTGTCCAGGGGTTTCACAGTGTGTTACCCACTGAATTACTGCACTGTCCAGTCCTGCAGGCTGTATCACCACTGAATTAATGCACTGTCCAGTGCTACAGGCTGTATCACCACTGAATTACTGCACTGTCCAGTGCTACAGGCTGTATCACCGCTGAATTACTGCACTGTCCAGTGCTACAGGCTGTATCACTGCTGAATAACTGCACAGTCCAGTGCTGCAGGCTGTATCACCACTGAATTACTACTATGTTAGGGCACTGTGCAGTTAGACAGTCCTGCAGGCTGCTCCCTGGCTCCTTACTTTTCGTCCCCCTGGTGTTAAACGGAGTGGCCGTGGCGGTCTTGTCCGGTCTAAGGCAGGCACCCTGTGGGCTGGGGTCACCCAGAGGTCAGACGTACCCCGTGAGGTCGTAGCCACTGGCGCCGCGCTGCCCGGGGGAGGGCGTGGGGGCGCTGCTCCTGCTCTGCTCGCTGTGGCTGCTGTGGGGGGGGCTCTTGCTGGCGGCGTGGACCCCGGCGTGCGCCAGCGGGTTGCGGAAGGTCATGGCGTTGGCGTGGGCGCGCGGGTGGGGGGCGGAGGACCCGGGGTAAGGGTACCCCGCCATGCCCCTGCCACCCCGGGGGCGGCCCCCTCGGCTCCCTCTCAGCGGCTCCTCCCCACAACACGACAGGCACAGCACCCCCCCGCCCATCAGGGACAGGAGCGCCGCCGCCATGCCCACATACAGACACTCCCCGATCTCAGACTTGTAACTGGAGGGCACGATGGGATTGTGGAACAGCTTCACCACCTCGTTGGTGGTCCAGGCAATGGGCACGAGGCACAGGAGCCCCGCTAGGAGCAGACAGCAGCCCCCGGCCCCCGCCGCGCGCGGCTTCACCGGCTGCCCCTGCAGGCAGGTGGTGCACTGCATGCCCAGGCAGGAGACGGCCAGGCCCAGCACCGACAGCACGCAGGACACCACCATCATGGCGCGGGCGGCCTGCAGGTCAGCGGGCAGCGCCAGCAGGGAGTTGTAGGTCTCGCACTGGAAGCTGCCCGTGCTGTAGTAGGCGCACTCCATCCACAGCCCCTTCACGTAGCCCACGGCCGTGATGATGTTGGAGCCGATGAAGGCCGTGGTGCGCCAGTAGGGCAGGACGGTGGACACCAGCGTTCCCAGCAGCCCCAGCAGCGCCAGCAGGAACCCCACCAGCTCCAGCCCTGCCGAGCCCATCTGTCGGGCAGGTACCCGTGCTCGTCTGCCTTCCTCCCTGTGCTACCCGGCTCCTGGTCGCTGTGCTGCCGTGTCCTGCCCGTCTCCTGTCTTCCCAAATCCAATCTTCTCTTCCTCCGTCCGCAGCGTGGGGAAACGCTGAAGCTCTATATCCTCCTCTCCTGACTTTTATGATCCCCAGTCAGTTTCTCTGGTATTTCTCTTCCTCAGGTCAGATCATGTCGGTGGGATGGCTGTGTCCGGTGAGCCTCTGTGTGTTTGTGAGAGAAAGCTCAAGTTCAGCTCTCTCATCTCTCTGTTGTCTCAACATCTACAGTATCAATACAGGAACACACGAGAAAAACACACACATATATTTACAGCTAGTTAAACATTCACTGATCCCAGATAAATCCATTCAAACAGACCTTTGGTTTGACCAAAATATAGGATAACAGCTTTTATTGGAACTGCAGTAAATATGTAATGCCCCCCCACCGCCCCCCCCTCACTGGTCAGACTGCAGCTTGACAGGAAAAAAATAAAACTAGGACCTAAAACCCTCTTACTTATATTATTAATACCCTGTTTCGGAAACAAATTCTTTAATGTTCCTGAAGCTAAACAATCTTCCCTACTCCTCTGTCCCCGCTGGCTATCCTCCAAGGTTTTATCTGTTGTTTGACCCAGACAGTTAATCAATAATCCGACCGAATTGTAAATCTTTAACCTGTGGTGGAGCTCTCTACAGGTGCCCCGAACAAACTCTCTTTGCCACCTCCCATCCCAGTGAGTCGCTAACACCAGCAGCAAAATGCTTGCATCACCTTCAGAAGCATTGCTATCCATTACTCCATCCAGCCATAGGAAATAGTATTAACGTAGTTGTGATTCTTTGACTATCTCTTTTACAAATTCTTGTTGAACACCGATTCATCCTGCAGCTGCTTTGCAGGTAGCAATACTGTTTCAAATGAAGGGTGGCAGCACTTCTATCGTCTATAAATATTTCCGGCTGCTTTCCTTCCTTTCATCTGTATTATAGTCATTTATTTTAATTTAAGTAAGAATCAAATATATGTTCTGGGTAGGACCCAAAACTGACAGTGAATGGTCTATAGGTTTTCCAAAGCTAGGCGGCCCTGGTATCAGTTAGCTGTCTGTGTGGAGTTTATATGTCCTGCCTGTGTTCGCATGGGTTTCCTCCAGGTGATCCTGTTTCCTCCCACAGTCCAAAGACATGCTGGTGGGTGAGGTTGCTTCTGGGAAAATCGGCCCTGTGGGAGTGTGTGTGAGCTTGTATCTGTGTGTCCCCCGCGATGGACTAGCGTCCCACCCAGGGTGTGTCCTGCCGTGTGCCGGTTGCTTGGCGGGACAGGCTTGGGGCTCCTCTGTGACCCTGAATCGGATAAAGTGATAAGAAAATGGATGGATGGATAGATGGGTTTTTTCCAATGTTGTTTCTAGAGAATTAAAAAAATAATCCCAAGGCTCTTACATCTGTTCCCCTTTTCCCGAAACAAGCATAAAAAATACTGGCGTTTGTAGCCAAACGTTTTCCATATTTTTATCCTGCAGAACTCCCTCAGAAATCAATTCAGGATGTCTTTGGCAGAAAAGATAAAGGATTCCTTGAGGGGTTTTTGGAAACTTTTGCTCAAAATATCCTGCATGAATCTGGCACATATCCTGAGGGAGTTTTTGCAGGAAGTGCGCAAGACTTTGAGTCTTGGGTGGTTTCCCAGAAGCTGGCCTGGGAAATGGCTCTGTCATATTGATAGGACAGCACAGCATACCTCTGTTCACACGCACAGAGATAAGAAGTCGACTTCTTTTAAGACTTAGACACCTGGAAATCGGGTAATTATTTTATTGCCTGGTTATTCCACAGTTTCGGTCTTAGAACTGTTTGATTTTCACCGTCCCTGACCATGAAGCAGGAGCAGTCACTCATTCTGCAGGTGTGTGAGTTCAGGTAAGTGTCTGTATGTACTCCAGGCCACATTGGGCAGGCTTTCCTGCTGGAGAACAGCCCATCTGTATTGAGGTGTTCCGATCCATCAGGGACACAGGGAGAGAAACACAAGTGCTCAGCAGGGATATTGTTTTGCTTAAGGGAGTTTCAGCTCACCAGACTGGCTCAGCCTCAGAGTCAGCGATTGCCGGAACCTTAAAATGAAACTAATCTTTATTGAATGTCCTTCACCGTCGAATCAGTATCTAGTTCTAATTTAAATCTGTTGTCCTGGATTTCATTGCCTCTATCAAAATGACAGGCAGTTTCAGACCCTAGGTCTAGTCCTAGCCTTACTGCTAACCCTAACCCTAGCATTAAGCATGAACCCAATCCTAACATTAACCACAATTGTAATCATAGCCCTAAATCTAACCTTAATACTATTCCTGGTCCTAATGCTGGATTTAGCTTCACTCCACAATAGCCAAAGTCTTAACCACAACCTTAACCTTAGCCATTATCCTGTACCTGTTCTTAGTCTGTAGACTAGGCACACAGCTGTCATAGAGAACTACTGAAAAAATGTTAGGGTCAGTCATGAGTTAATCAGATTACTGGTCAGCACAAGAAAACACAGAAGAAGGTTTCTTCCCCACATACAGACTGGACTGGCACAGCCCCTTTGTAAAGCCAGGTCATGGATGCTTTGTTTCAGTGTGTTTCATTATTATGAAGCAAAAAGCAATTAACCCAGTTTGATGCTCAGACAGCTGCATCTTCATGGATCTCCATCGCAATGCGGGTACATGACAAAAAAGGAGTTTCCTTCCTCTCTGAATCAGCGTATCTCCAAGGAAAAGCCACAGGTAAGCCCCCTTTTTACTACTATAGGCATTTAATAGGATTTGCACAATCCTATGGGGTTTTCCTGATGCCTTACCAGTATTGTGCAGATGCTGCAGTCAAATGATAGGATTATCAGAGGGCTTTCACCGAAAGACAATGATCTCACTCCTAGATGAGCATCTGACTTTGCTTTTCCAACAAAGACACGAAAAACACCCAGATTAGGCTTCTCTGGAATAAACATAGTGTGTATAGTGAGAGGGATTAACAATGCAAAAAATATACTGTTACCAACACACATTTGTTTTGTATTTAATGCCTCTCAGAACAGCTTCATGGTGATACCGATTATAAGGCACACAAAACAAAACATTGCGGAAAAAAAACATCTCTCACAAAGGGAGCTGAAATAATTTAAAGAAAGAAGGACAAGGGCAGAAGGAAAGAAAGGGGAGAAAAGGGAAAGACAGGCTTTTGTCCGCAGGGTTTTCTGAGAAGATGGAAAGACCGGGGGATTTCTAGCAGGTTAGCATTCAGAACAGCCCCTGGCAGGACACCTAAACACAGGCACTTACCGTGATGCGTGTGTGGCGTCCACATCGCAGGCTGCAGGATGGGCAGGGAAGCTGACAGGCTGGATCTTTCCAGTGCAGAAACTGCAGGACAGTAACCCCCAGGCCTGCCCCTCCAGTAGGGGGTGGTATTGTACTTCTGGGGGCTGGGCACGAAGGAGAGAAGCAGACTTACCGTTTTCCTGTTTCCTGGCTGTTCCAACCCCCTCCCTCCTGGATCAGATCCTTCACCTCTCCCCTAATTCCGTGTCACATGTTCGGGGGCAAGGTAATCAGATTAGCTCCCGATCCAGCTCCTGTCTGAGTGAAGTGGTCAAAGAGCACTGGGCAGGCAGCACTGTGTACAGCAAAACTAGACAGGGCTCAGCACAGACACCGCACACCAGACAAAGCACAGAACCCCACACCACACACACCCCACACCCCACACCAGACACAACACACCACAGACACCCCGCACCAGACACAACACATCACACACATCCCACACCAGACACAACACATCACACACACACCCCACACCAGACACAACACATCACACACACCCCACACCAGACACAACACATCACACACACCCCACACCAGACACAACACATCACACACACACCCCACACCAGACACAGCACAGACACTCCACAGCTTTTACAGAAACCCAGTGGGGCAAATCATGGTCAAAGACAGAAGCAAATGCACTGGAACAGGGTAAATGTGTGATGAACACGCGGGCACACAGAGCAAAGATTACCTTGTGAACCTGCTATGGAAAACTGTGATGGAGGAGCTAATGAGTTGTTACAGTGCTATAAACAGAGCACATGATGTTCTGAGTCACTTTATTGCCTTATAGCAGGGGTGTCAAACTACTTTTTAAGGGGGGCCAAACTAAAAACATTTAATCATGTCGTGGGCCACACATGCAGATACATACTGATTAGAGTTTGATAAATTATAAATTGTTCCACATATGCAAGTGAATGTAGCCTCTACAAACAAAACATTGCTTTTATTGCCTCTATTTAAGAATATGGTTGAGCATTTCATAAAAGAAAATGCATTCAAGATAAAAATAAGATCAAGCATTTTAGGTAATGTTTGGCAATGTAACTATATTGCACAAAATGAATGGAAATAAATACATGAATTGAAATAAATAAAAACAAACAAACAAACAAACCCAGATAAGGATAGGTCTGCATCACAAACTGTAAGCCTACTGTTGCTTTGCCAGGCCAGCAACCTGAGCTCTTTTCTTTGAGGCAAGAAAGTCTAATCTGGGCATAAAATCCTGAACGGCAAAGGAATGTGCAATAAATTCGGTCGCTTTCTCTGAAAGCTGCTCTTGTAGATCGTTAGCAATCTCGTCCACTCGAGTAGCCATCGTACATCTAGTGAGACGACTGATGTTTGCAAAAGCAGGCCCTGTCTCTGGACACACTACTTCAGAAAATCGCCCTCACAGAATGGTCTCCCTGATTTAGCTATTTCCTCAGCCAAGATAAAACTTGCCTTCACGACAGTTACACGTTGAATAGCAAGATGATAGTGTTTTTCTACTACTAGACTCGAGGTGATATCTGCGTAAAGGAAGCCAATCTAATTAGTTTTACTCCAGAGGGGAAGGGAGGACGCCAATACTCAGTTGTCGCGTGATGTGATTGGAGCCGAGGGCTCATGGGAAATGGAGTTCCTTCTGTCGCAGAACTCATGCAATATACCGGGAAAAGTCTTCCAAGAGCCAGATTAAAACAGATTGAGTTTAATTAATTAATTATCTTACACTTCTATAGCGCTTTTCTGGACACTCCACTCAAAGCGCTTTACAGATAATGGGGACTCCCCTCCACCATCACCAGTGTGCAGCCCCACCTGGATGATGCGACACCAGTACACTCCCCACACACCAGCTCTCAGTGGGGAGGAGAGCAGAGTGATGAAGCCAGTTCAGAGAGGGGGATTATTTGGAGGCCATGATTGGTAAGGGCCAATGGGAAATTTGGCCAGGACGCCGGGGTTACACCCCTACTCTTTTCGAGAAACACCCTGGGATTTTTAATGACCACAGAGAGTCAGGACCTCGGTTTTACGTCTCATCCGAAGGACGGCGCCTGTTTACAGTATAGTGTCCCTGTCACTATACTGGGGCAATAGGACCCACATGGACCGCAGGGTGAGCGCCCTCTGCTGGCCCCACTAACACCTCTTCCAGCAGCAACCTTAGTTTTTTCCAGGAGGTCTCCCCTCCAGGTACTGGCCAGGCTGCGGGCTATATACATATTATTGTATATATAGTTTGACACAGGTGCCTTATAGAAACCGTGACCCTGCCACTCCACAGTATTTACATGTGTTCTTTATTCATAAAACATTTACCACCACAGTTAGTGCTGTTTGCCTTGGAGAGATAAAGTGTCACACGAACCATTCAGAAGGCCAGGTTAGGAGGAGCAGGAGTCTTGTCTAATTTCGGAATGCTGAGCTTGTTTTCCCTTTCAAAAAAATAAGGCACAGGACGTTCTGTGATCGGACAGGTCATGACGAAAACGGCCCAATGTCTCTCCAGTGTGGGTGATGTATTTTTTAACATAAATGTAAACATTTTTTTTATTATGCTTCACCATGCAAGAGTTTAAATTACAATTGTATTCTTCAAAAGGCGAGATGCCATAACACGGGTGTGTGCAACCCTGCAGACAAGTGCGTTTTTGTTGATGTAGTAACTTGATTATCCCAGGAATGGGTCAGCGATGGGCCTTGAGACCGACATGTAGCTTTGCGATTTTTATTTCGTGTCGGGGGGGGGGTGTCTAAACTGCATCCTTGAATAAATCCCCTGCTTCTGGAACCAGAATTATTGTGCCCCAAGTACTCACAAACTGAGGAATTAAAACCTGCAGCGACGTGGCCATCCAGAACCAATCTTCGCTGCACCTGCTTTGAAATGTTTTGATCCTTTATCCGTCCGGAAAAAAAAAAATATCACCTTGCGATGCGGTCTGCGTCCACTAGAGGGAGCCCTTTACTGCGCGCTTCAGCTGTGGCCGCCGGACGGGGGATTGAGAACAGAGCGAGAGTCATACAGGACACGAGGTCGCGAGGACCATTTGGCCCGTATTTTGTTTGTTTGGTGGCTGGTAGTCGATTGATCCAAATTGAAGCTCATCCATCTATCTCTTGAAAACAACAAAAAAAAAATAGGGTAGTGGCTTCAACAACGTGGCTGGGTAGCTTGTTTCACACCCCCTCTACCCTTTGGGTACAGAACTGTGTGTTGTTTTCATGTTGAATGGCTTTTTTATGTACTGTAATTTCATGCAGATGGTTCCCAGCAGCAGTGACTTGGTCTATTTTGGTGGCACAGGGGTCCTGTAAAATATAGTCACCCTTGCGTGTTATTGCACTGAATTACCATTGAAGGAGCGATGTATAAATACATATTGATGACACTCGCAGAAGGCTCCACAGCCGAAATGTTGAGTCTCTTTTCTTTACCTTTCAGCACAGATAAACCTTTTACCCATTCCTCTGCAGCCTCGACACAGCTCCCTGCTCGAACTGCGAGAAATATCAGTTATGTTTATGCAATGTAAATGAACAATGGAGGAACACAGAGATCCCCTGGAATGGAAACACAGGAATGTCCCAGCCACGTCCCAGGATCGGAGACGCTCTCTCCCCTGAATTATCCGGATAACTTACACGTTAAATTAACCCAAGCCGGGGCAGCGGTACAAGTCTTCAGACATGTCTAGATGGTTGCTCTTAAACTGTCAAGCTGAGCCTTAAGCATAAACCCAATCCTACCATTAACCATAATTGTAATCATGGCCCTAAATCTAACCTTAGTGCTATTCAAGCATTAATAACAAGGGTCCTGGGGGCCAGATCTGGGCTCCACTGTACGGCCAGTGAGGTGCTGGGCTGCGGCTTGCAGAGAACAGCTGCTGTCCAAGGTCAGGTGGGTCAGTGCCTTGTGTGGTTTTCACCCACAATCCACCTGGAGCCGTGCCAGGGCTGCGCTGCGCGGATCAGTGCTGGCCTGGGAATCGCGGAGCAATCCCGGGGCCATCCCAGAGCTATCCCGGAGGTGCCGAGAGTGTCTCCTCCGGGCGCGAGCTCAACAAGGTGTGAGGCGGAGGTGCCGGGGCGTCGGGGAGGGCGGGGGGCCCAGCCTCTCCCCGAAGTGTGCCTGCAGAGGTGTGAGTCTGCTGCCAGGCCTGGAGGTGCGAGCTGCGATCTGGGGTGGGAACGGTCTGACCTGATCCAGGGAACGGTCTGACTCGGCTTCATTGCACAGAAATCACCCCCCTCCGCTGCATCTTCCATTGGTAAAGGTTTATTCCAGGCTGAAAAGAGAAGAAAAGAAACACGACGTTTCGGCTACGGAGTCTTCTTCGGGTGGAACTGGTGTCTTGCTTTGTCGTGTTGTAGACTATAGGCCATGAAGGAAATTGCTCTTGTCAAGCGGAGCCGTTTAAAGTGAAAACTCACTTTAGATGTCGTTTATGAAGAGTTGAGTAAGACGTCCATGAAGAGGTTCAGGCTGCTTATTGTGTGCTTGGCTGGATCATCAGTGTGAGAGTCGGAGAAAACAGTTTTCCTCACATTGTACAGTATTGCCCTGTGTGTGGCAAATCTCCCAAAGGGGGGTCCTGAGAAGCCATCTTGGTATTTGTTTGAAAGATCAACAAGGATTTTGGTGCATCAGTCAGGCACTTTCCACTTAATTCTAGCACAGGTTTGATTGTACAATTGAGGTAGGGGGTTGTGTGAATACAGTGACTCATAAACATAACTGATACTCACCCTCTTGTGCTCCAGTAGGAAACCTACTGAAGCCCGAGCAATATTTCAGCTAAATAAAAGATAATATTTTAGTTTTGAAACGGATTACTGACAGATTCAATTGCATTTCTATGCATGGACACATCTTACTCTGCATACCATACAGGGTGTTTTTAAAAACGGGTTGACCTGTTTAGGCTGCTGTCCTGGGGAGCAATTAAATTCTGTTAGAGGTGCTCCTTTGTTCATAGACCCAGTTAGAAAGGAAGGCTCATTTACAATGACAACCTGAGACCCTTACTCATACATGGGGGGGGGGAGGGGGGCTGTGTCTGCAGGTTTGCCAGGTCTTTCCAAAGCAGCAGCACCTGAAGAGCTCCGGGAAGCTGTTGAATAATTGATCCCGTTAATCCGATAATGATCTGATGTAGGTTGGTCTGGAATACTTGTGATCTTTTTGCTAACCCTTCTCAATAAGAGATTAATCTACAAGGAACCAGGGGAAGATGGATGAGTACCCCATGATCACATCGTCACTTCAAGTACATTTCTCATCAGCTCCTATTAGTGCAGGTGCTCACGTTACTCCTGTCCTGGA